TCGGTTCAGATTTAGATATAGGTGTCATATATATTTATGTCGATTTTAAGTAAATGATGCACCAAAGATTCAATGTTAGGCGATTGCATTGCAATTTTGCACAGCGTTCTGAATTAGGTCCAGATTAATATATGCAAAGTTTTGTTGAAATCGGATCATATTTAGATATAGCTCCCATATATTATAGTTCGTCCGATTTTATGTAAATGGTGCACCAAAGACCCAAAGTTAAAATGATTGACACAAAAGTTTGCACCACCTACTGAAGTTATTGTAGTCCAACGTGTGTCAAGTTTTGTTGGAATCGGTTCAGATTTGGATATAGCTCCTATATATATTTTCCTCCGCTTAAAAGTAAATGGTGCACCAAGGACCCATAATAAAACTAACAAAATTCGTTGAAATCTATGTAGATATAGCTTCCATTAATTTCTTCGTCCGACTTTAATTAAATAGCCCAATTTATTTTTTAACTGACGCGAAATTTTGCAAAAAATTGAAAAAATTGAAATTTTACAAAATCGAGTATAGAATGTCGTAATTGCTTTTTGTAGAAATGCAGACATAGCCCATATATTCGACCGACTTCATGTTTATTGGGTTTCACATAATCAACGAGTGTCCGACTGAGATTTGCCTGAAATCGATTTACATAATTTTGTCTCATCCTTTATCTACCCAAATGAGGAGTTAATATAGGTTACAAATGACATGTTTATGGATTGATCTAAATCGGTTAACATTTAGATATAGGTCATATATTTTAGTTCATCCAATTGCATGTCAATGGTCCGACATCTGTTAGAATGAATCTGTTGAACATACCCAAAAATGTGAAGGGTATCATATAATCGGCCCCGTCCGACTTTAAAAAATATCTTCAGTAAAAATAGTCCGAGAAGAGCGAAGCATGTTCTTCCATGCTTATAGATTTAAAAATACCAACCAAATCATACGATAGTGAGTATTACAATTTATACATTCCGCGTGTAATACCTTGAAATATTCGTCGGCAATATTCCACTTTTCTATCATCAGCATTAAGACTAATGGGTGTACGAGGCATAATATAATATTTCTGGCCAAATAATAAAAAGGCGAATATTTGTCATCAACAATTGTTTTATTTTTATTCAAAGTACTCTCCACCATGATTTTTATACCCTACACAACTATGTTGTCAGGGTATTATAGCTTTGTGCAGCCCCAAAAGTTTGTAACGCCGCGAAATATTGGTCCTAGACCCAGCTTTAAGTATACCGATCGTCATATCTCGACTAGCTGAGTCGATCTAGACATGTGTGTCCGTCCGTCTGTCCATTATAATTTGTAAACACGATACAGGCCACAGTTATGGACCAATCTTCACGAAATTTTGCATGTAGGATGGGTTCTTGCCAATGAAGACCCCTATTGTTTTTGGGAAAAAAGGTTAATATTTAGGGGATGAAATGGACCAAATACTAAATTTTTATCGGGTTTTCTGGTCGCTCCAGAGGCCGAAATAATGGTCCGAACATCGTGAAATTTTGCATGGAGAAGGGGATCGGGCTAAAGAATAAGCATGCCTGTTTTGATAAAGATCGGTCAATATTTAGCGGGTCAAATGGACCCTGACTTTTGTGTGAAAAATGACAAAATGTGTATTCTATAGCGTATATATTTACCCCTGAAGGACATAGACCCGAGAAGTTGATATTATATCCAAGAGGAGTGGTTGACCTTAAAATTAATACCAATTATATTGTTGTATGTGATCGGATGTGGGAGTTACACCCAAATATTTACAGGTATCTCCGTATTCGTATATTATTTAGTAACGGGTTACCATACTGGAGGCCGGAAATATAGCGCTGATAGCTTTGAAATGTTCCATAAGGTTCCAGTTATGGTCAAGGACAACGCCTATAATTTTCGGTGATGATCGGATAATAATTTTGGAATGAAGTGGACCGAAAACGTCATTTTTGTGTTATTTTTGAGTCGATCTATATACCACAAATGAAAGCCGAACATCACAACACAACCCACAGTGAAGGGAATCTGGACAATAGCTGTACTGAATACATGAAATATTCGGAAAATATGTCAGTGTGAGGAAAAGGTGCTGTTTACCTCTAATTGGGCAAGAGGGTGAAAATATCACGAAATATTGCTCAGGCTCGGACTAAACATCCGTAAAAAATTTGAGTTCCGTGGTAGTTGCGTAGGGTATCGTATGGTCGGCCCCGTCCGACTATACTGCTCCGCTCACTGGTTTACACTTGCATATAACTATTACAGAAGCACTATTGCCACTCCGATTGAGAATGTTAAACGTGTTAATAGCAATCGTTGACATCGATTTTTTCTTGATATGAGGGAATTATAACAAGTCATTTGACCTATTAATTACACGATGAGGGAGAGATTGCATTGTGAAATGATTCTGCACTCTTTCTCTCGTGAACACGGAACGCCAGAAACCAAAATTGTCGCATCTGAGGCTGGAAAATCCCAAGTCATTCATGCATTCTCAACATGTAACAGATTTTAGGTATTTTGAATTTGAGCATGTCTTTCAATAAGTAGTGGTGATGGTTTTGTGGTTACCCCCACAAAATAGCCCGCACCAACTATACTCCCTAGAAAAGACAACGTTCAAACAATACAATACATTTTACATGTTTTCTATAGATCTTTTTCCATAGATCATTTTCATACTGAATTCCTTTTAGGGGGGACCCCTACTCTAATTCTAGAATGTCCCTATAAAATTTCAAGTGAAAATCTTAAGAACTCTTGAAGATATAGCCGATTTATTTTGTCAGCATCAAGGGACGGCAAGAGTGATTCTCAAACTTTAAACGCATTTTTCTCGAAGCGAATGGCGGGCACGATAACTCAAAAACTAATAATCCAATCGGTCCCAAATTTTGACACGTTTCTCTGGGAGTGTATAGCTCTCGTATGAAGTAGGATAAAGCCAATCGGTGAATATCTTCCTTATTTTTATACCCTCCACCATAGTATGGAGGGTTGTTTTTCCGTTTGTAACGCATCGAAATAATCATTTCCGACCCATAAAGTATATATATTCTTGATCTAGCGTCTAAACGAATTGAGATAGAACGCCAAAATTTTGCATAGAGTCGTCTTTTGTCTGCAGGCAGGCCAAGTTCGAAGATGGGCTATATTGGTCCACGTTGAGGCATAGCTCCCATATAAGGGTACCCCCAAATTTTCAGTATTTTTTGGTTCTTGAGCACGTTTTCAACCGAATTTTGGATACCAAATGTCTCTACTAAAAATCATAAATATAGGTCTACTTTTTCTTATAGCCCCCGTATAACGGTACCTCTCAAATATCCGTAATTTAGTACTTTGAGTTCTTATTGGGTATCAAATCTCTCCACAAGAAATTATAAATATAGGTCCATTTTTTCGGGTAGCCCTCATATAAGGGTACCCCCAATTTTCGGTATTTTAGGGTTCTTGAGCCCGGTTTTCAACCGAATTCGCTGAAATTTGGTACTTTGAGTTCTTATTCCGTAGCAAATCTCTCCACTAAAAATTATAAATTTAGGCCAATTTTTTCGGGTAGCGCCCAAGTGAGGGTACCCTCCAATTTTCGGTATTTTGGGGTTCTTGAGTACGGTTTTCAACCGAATTCGCTGTAATTTGGTATTTTGTAGTCGTATATGGTAACAAATCTCCCTACCAAAAATTATTAATATTCACCCCCTTTTAGGGGTATATTAAATTTATATAAATATATTAAAATGGTTATCTGATTTGTTCCGGGTTTTGAGTTTGGTTCTAAAACTCTGATGTAATCATTTCACCTGCGGAGGATATCAAGATAAAAAAGTAGAACGTAATGTTCGATAATGAACCCGCATTTAGACCTAGTCCGTGTATGGAGGTTCCTGAAGAAGTGGACCGATATTCCCCATCTTCGAATTTGAACTAAGATTGGAAGAAATAATAAGATGGACAAAGTTTGGATGAAATCTAAATTTTTTGAAATTGATTTAGTCCAAAGAAACATGGAGTGTAGATTTCGATTAGCCACAGTGTATAATTATCCATTAAAAATTACTGATTTTTTATTATGGTTTACATAATCCCTTTTTAGAAATGTCGGTATAGGTCTACTCTTTGGTATGTTCCCTATATTTTCATTTCTAGTACCCGTCAGTATATCTATGGTGGAGGGTATCCAAAGTTCGGCCCCGCCGAACTTAACGCTTTTTCACTTGTTTAACCTAGTTTGTTGTCAAAAATTGGCGATTTTCCAAATAAAAATTTTCAGAGTTCCGCCATTTTGTTAATTATTGTGCGAAGTATCTTTCTATCACCGTTGGAATTTTAGGATTCCGATGTTCCAGTGAGGAGTTATTATGCCCGCCATCAAAAATAAGGACTTTTCTTTAATCACAAAAAAACAGCAATAAAACAACAACAAACATTTTTTGTAAATTATTTTTCTTCCCTTTTAAATCTTCAAATATATATGTACAAAGTTACAAACATTAACAAGCATTGGTATTCATTTAAAAATAAAAATAAAAAATCGAGAATGGGGTGGGGTGGGTTTCCCTTAAAGTAGAAATACTCAAATGGACCATCTTTTAAGCATTCGACAACATTAGGAACATTTATTAATGAGATATCAGATTTTTTTTATAAAATCCTTAACTTAAACCAAGCGTAGCCAATATCGCGTTAAACTTAAAATAATACAAGTAAACATTTATATATATGTGTGAGTGTAGCTTAGAGACAATTATTTTCGACACGATAACATTTGATTTGCTGCATTTTCCCCCATTTATGACATATAAGGAGTTGTCGGGGTGGCTGGAATTGTACTTGTTTTCGATAATTGCGTTTGTATTGTCAACACCGTATCTTTTCGCCTTCTGGGTATATTTCTATTGACAAATCCGAATCTAAAATACAAATTTAAAAAAATAGTGTTGCTTCAAAAAAAAAAAATAATAATAATAACAATTTACTTACTGTTCCTTGAGTGCAATCAACACCTCGCGACGATATATAAACATGAAAAATATTAAAACACCCTGTGAGGCATTACAAAAATCCGTTATGCCAAAAAGAAAATCCAAAACTTTGTAATTGCGACAACAATACGATATGATGTCCATTATCCAGCATATGCCCATAATTAGGAATAGTCGCAGTATGATAAATACACTGAAAGAAATAATATATAAAGAAATGTGTAGATTGTGAGAAGAGGGGAAAGAGACTATCAAAGGGGTGGGTTTTAAAGAATATTTTTTCAATTCCTATCATCATAGGAATGGATTTTTTAAAGAGTATTATTTTAATGGTTATCAAAGGCGTGGATTTTCGTAAGAATATTTTTTAATGGTTATCAAAGGCGTGGATTTTTTAACGAATATTTTTTCAATGACAATCAAAGGCGTGGATTTTTGAACGAATATTTTTTAAATGACTATCAGAGACATGGAAAGAGATGGATACACAACTATGTTGTCAGGGTATTATAGCTTTGTGCAGCCCCAAGAGTTTGTAACGCTGCGAAATATTGGTCCTAGACCCACCTTTAAGTATACCGATCGCATATCTCGTCTAGCTGAGTCGATCTAGACATGTGTGTCCGTCCGTCTGTCCATTATAATTTGTAAACACGATACAGGCCACAGTTATGGACCAATCTTCACGAAATTTTGCATGTAGGATAGGTTCAGGCAAATGAGGACCCCTATTGTTTTTGGAAAAGATCAGTTAATATTTAGGGGATGAAATGGACAAAAATTTTATTTTTGTCTGATTTTCTGGTCGCTCTGGGGGCCGAACACCGCGAATTTTTGCATGGAGAAGGGTATTGGACCAAAGAATAAGCATGCCTTTTTTATAAAGATCGGTCAATATTTAGCGGGTCAAATGGACCCTGTCTTTTGTGTGAAAAATGACAAAAATTGTATTCTATAGCGTATAGATTTACCCCTGAAGGACCTATACCCGAGAAGTTGATAGTATATCCAAGAGGAGTGATTGAGCTTTAAATCGGTATTGTCATATGTACTCGGATGTGGGAGTTACACGTAAATATTTACATTACCACACTAGAGGGCGGAAATAAGCGCTGATCACTTTGAAATGTTCCTTGAGGTTGCAGTTGTGGTCAACAGAGATGGTCCGTCAGAAACAGTGACGTAAATGACATCATTTTCGACGTATATTACATACGTCAGAAACGTCGGAAACCCACCCAAAATCATTAGGTTTTTGACAAAATACCTATTTCCATTAATGAATTTTGAAATTACGTATGCTTTACTGAAATTCATATAACATTTCAAAATTTTTTTTCCAAAAAGTTTAGAATTTTGTATTAGTTCTAGTAAGAAACAGACAGTTATATGCAAAAAAAAATATATATTTTTGAAAATAACGGTATATGGTAATAATATTTGAATAAATGACGTTTTCTACATTTATTACATTTTATACAGGTATATGACGTTTTCGGCGTTTACACCTTTTTGACAGTCGAAAACCTAAAAATTCGTCATACGGACCATCCCTGGTGGTCAAGGACAACGCCTATAATTTTCGGTGATGATCAGATAATACTTTTGGGATGAAGTGGACCGAAAAATTATTTTTTTCGATTCGATCTATAGGCTACAATTATAAGCCGAACATCACAACACAACCCACCGTGAAGAGAATATGGACAAGTAATTAGAAGGGTTGTATTGAATATTGGTAATATTCGGAAAATATGTCAGTGTAAAGAAGAGCTGCTGTTGACCTCTAATCGACCAAGAGGATGCAGCTATCACGAAATATTACCCAACCTCGGGAAAATGCGTCTTGAGCCTAAATATATCCCATTTTTAGAATATCATACATCCCAGGGGTAATAGCAATGTATTGGTAAGTAAGAATTACTTTATGAAGCATCCCGTGGATATTTTGAGAAGTTTAAAGCTTAATGGCAAATGTTATGTGGGAGGGTTATAAAAGATGCACACACATCATTTCTATACTTACTTCTCTCGATTTTTATTATCTCTGTTCGTCTCATAGGGTGACACATTCCGTTTGATGGTATAAATCGCACTTGTCACATGGATAAAGGCAGCTATATTGAATAACATTATGACACAATTCGGTAAATAGAAATAGAATGCTGCCGACCATTTACGAGCTAAAATCAAAATAATTTTGAATAATGTTAGTACAATATATATCGACTTTGAGTTTAACTTACTATCTAACCAACAAATTTCTTTGCCAATGCCAGGTTTATATTGTTCCATAACAAAATTGGATAACTGGGCCCAGATGACAATCAGTGTCAATGTACCAGACACACCCCAAACAAAAACCGAATACAATATGAAACGAATAATATTATCACGGCTACGTCCATTGAATATTTCATCTTCTTTAAATGTTGTCCACATATCGAAGCATAGAACCCCCAGCCAAAGGTAGGCGGATATGAAGAAAAAATAACCCGAGAATCCTTAAAGCAAAAAAAGTTATTTTTTTGTTTACCATATCGTTGTATAAATGATGATTTTGGTTACCCATTATACGGCATGTTGGCTCAGGATATCTTCCTTGTGATATGTTTATATAGCCAATAATGGAATACCCGGCAGTCAGTGAAATCAAATAACATATTCGTAGTTTTCCTGTTAAACTGCTGCGTAATTTTTTGACAACCATATGTATCAATATTGTGGGTACAAAAAATACCACCGACACGGCCATACCTGTAATGGGAATTTTTTTTATATATATACAAATGGTATTTGTAAATAAATTACAGAAGAAGACAATGCGAGTTACGGGTACTGGTATTTTGAGAGTTAACATCTGGGAGTAATCGAAAGAAGTAAGTAACGTAAAAAATCGCTTATAACGACGAAATAAATCGCTAAAACCGACATGTCGTTATGAACGATATCAAATAAGGGGCAGAACTTTTTCAGTGCGACACACATCCATATCTTTTACACATATACTCAAAATATTCTAAAATGTCGTACGAAATATCAGACATTCATCAGATCGATAATTACTCTAACTAAAAACTAATATCACAACAGGTTTGCAACTATTTTGGGAAAATCGATTGTTTCAGCTGATTTTCGAAATGGCTTTGGTCCGTTTCCACTTTTAATACTTACTATATGTATTCAAAACCATCGAAAGTGAGGGATCATTTCTCATCGGACAACTCATGGCCAGCAATGTCGTTTTGTTGAGTGTTTTATTCAATTGTGGTGATATACAATAATTCACCGTATCCAAAGTGATATTATCGGTAGCTATAGCCAATGTGCCATTCTGCAAAGAAAATATGGAAGAAATTTTAAATTTAATTCAATCAAAATTTTTAGCCGTAGATGTTTATACCTTCCGCCATGAGAAGGTGGTATGTAATTAAAACTTTTTATCCTAAGTGTTTCCCAAAGAAGTGGCTGTAATTTGGCATTCGGGTTCCTAATGCATTAAAAAACTAATATGGGTCCATGTTTTTTATAGGCCCCATACAAAGATATAAACTTTGTGAATTTTTTTTTTTTTTGATATAGGCCTAAATAAGGGTCCCCATCAATTTTAGGTATTTTGAAAGCTCATATCAGCTCATAAACAAAGTTTGGGCGAAGTTAACATCGTTAAGCATATTTTTTATCAGGGCCATCCAAACTGTAGATCTTAATTTTTATACCTTACACAACTATGTTGTCAGGGAATTATAGCTTTGTGCAGCCACAAGAGTTTGTAACGCCGCGAAATATTGGTCCTAGAACCACCATTAAGTATACCTATTGTCTTATCTCGACTAGCTAAGTCGATCTAGACATGTGTGTCCGTCCGTCCATCCGTCCGACTGTCCATCTTCTTCACGAAATTTTGCATGTAGGAAGGGTTTTGGCCAGTGAAGACCCCTATTGTTTTTGGTAAAGATCGGTTAATATTTGGGGGATGATATGGACCAAATATTTAATTTTTCTCCGTTTTTCTGGTCGCTCTAGAGGCCGATAATATGACCCGAACATCGCGAAATTTTACATGCAGAACAGCATTGGGACAGAGAAAAGGCATGCCTGCTTTGATAAAGATCGGTCATTATTTAGCGTGTCATATGGACCCTGACTTTTTTGTGAAAAATTACAAACTTTGTATTCTATGGCGTATATATTTACTCGCGAAGCATATAGATCCATGAGGATCAAAATGACTCCAATTACATTGTCGTATGTACTCGGATGTGGGAGTTACACACAAATATTTACAGGTGCTTACGTATTCAGATATTATTTAGTAACCCATTACCTTATTAGAGGGCTGATTCTTTTAAAATTTAAAATTGTCCATAAAGTTCCAAATATGGTCAAAGACAACGCCTATAATTTTCGATGATGATCTGATTAAAATTTTGGGATGAAGTGGACCGAAAACTTAATTTTTTTGTGTGGGTTTCTAGTCGAATATAGGGAACATCACAACACAACCCACAGTGAAGGGAATCGGAATAATTATCCGAGTTCCGTGGTAGTTGTGTAGGGTATCGTATTGTCGGCCCCCCAAAAATATAATATTTTTGTGCCAAGCTAAGTTTTTTAAAACCTAATTTCTTGTCAGGGTCGTCCCTACTGGAAGTGTAGCTTTTTGAAGCAAATTTTTGTGGCAGGTTCACAATTTGAAGCTTTGCTTTTTATACTCTACACGACTATGTTGTCAGCTTTGTGCAGCCCCACCTTTAAGTATACCAATTGTCATATCTCGACTAGCTGAGTCCATCTAGACATGTGTGTCCGTTCGTCCGTGTGTCCATTATAATTTGTAAACACGATTCATGCCATAATTATGGACCAATCTTCACGAAATTGTTTTTGGTAAAGATCGGTTAATATTTCTGGGGATGAAATGGACCAAGAAAATTATTTTTGTCTGATTTTCTGGTCACTCCAGAGACCGAAATTATGGCCCAAACATTGCGAAATTTTACATGGAAAAGGGGATCGAACCAAAGAATAAGCCCGTTTGCTTTGATCAGATATAGCGCTGATTGCTTTGAAATTTTCCATGTGGTAACAGTTATGGTCAAGGACAACGCCTATAATTTTCGGTGACGATCAGATAATAATATTGGAATGAAGTGGACCGAAAACTTAATTTCTTGTGTCTTTTCGAGTCGATCAAGCCAAACTTCAGAACAATTGAAAGCCGAACTTCACAACACAATCCACGGTGAAGGGAATCTGGTCAAGTAATTCAACTTCTAGTCGGTAAAGAGGGTGCAAATATCGAAAAATATTCCCAAGTTCAGAATATAGAATTACACAAAGTTAGATTTTTGTGGAAGTTGTGTAGGGTATCATGTTGTCAGCTCCATCCGACTGCTCAGATCACCGGTTAAAATTTTGTTTTGGTGTCGGGGTCATTCGGACTAGAAGTTTAGATTTTTAAAGAATATTTTTGTTTCAGGCCCGTCCAATATATAAGTGTAGATTTATGAAGAATATTTTTGACTCAGGTCCATATTTGTAAAAGCGTAGATTTTTAACGAATATTTTTTATATCAGTCACCTAAGTGAATGTAATTTGGCATTTCCCTCTCGTTTTGGTGAACAAACTTCCTCGCCTCACTTTCGGTTTTGTAATTTGGCAACTCGATCGAACGTAGCTCCTAAGGTCCCAATAAAAGCTCCTATTCGATCCGAATAAAATTTGATATTTTTATTTTTCGAAAGAGGGGTACCTCGCAAAAAATATTTGAATTTTGATCCATGATCCGTCTACACTTTTTTGGAGCTAAGCCACTTTTAAACATATCTCAATGTATCTCCAGAATTTATTACTTCCTTATGCTGAAGGGATTTGAAAGTAGTTTATAATTTTTATACCCTACACAACTATGTTGTCAGGGTATTATAGCTTTGTGCACCCCAAGAGTTTGTAACGCCGCGAAATATTGGCCTTTAAGTATACCGATTGTCATATCTCGACTAGCTGAGTCGATCTAGACATGTGTGTCCGTCCGTCCGTCTGTCCATTATAATTTGTAAACACGATACCAGGCCACAGTAAGGGTTCGGCCCAATGAAGACCCCTATTGTTTTTGGTAAAGATCGGTTAATAATTAGGGGATGAAATGGACCAAATACTTAATTTTTGTCGGTTTTTCTGTTTTGAAAAAGATCGGTCAATATTTAGCGGGTCAAATGGACCTGACTGTTGTGTGAAAAATTACAAAATTTATATTCTACAGCGATGAAGTGGACCGAAAACATATTTTTTGTGTTTTTTTCGATTCGATCTATAGGCTACTATTATAAGCCGAACATCACAACACAACCCACGGTGAAGGGAATGTGGACAAGTAATTAGAAGGGCTGTACTGAATATTGGTAATATTCGGAAAATATGTCAGTGTAAGGAAGAGGTGCTGTTGACCTCTAATCGGTAAAGGGGGTGCAACTATCACGAAATATTACCCAGGCTCGGAATAAAAATCCGCAAAAAAAATAAAGTTCTGTGGTAGTTGTGTAGGGTATCGTATGGTCGGCCCCGTCCGACTATACTGCTCCGCTCACTGGTTTCTTTTGTACTTAACGGATAACTTTATTTTGTTTCAATTATTATTGAATTCCTTATTCGATTCAATTTTTTTTCCAATTTCATAGAACAATTTTCTGTTCACAGACTTAATGCGACTATCCTAAAATTAGACATCGCTACATCCTTGATTTTTAGATTTTTCTGTTGATAATCATGTCTTGACATATGAAATAATATATATCTAATAGCTGCATATTAAATATAACCTCAAAAACAAATTTTGTTTTCATTGGGCAACAAAAGGGTTAACAAAGAATGCAAATCAGATGGTTTGCACAGCACATCGAGGATTTAAGCATATGCTGGTCATATACAAATATAAAATAAAAAAAATGAATAAATCGAAGAGTTAGCAACAAAGTGTGACTATCTATATAAATAATAACCTTATCTGACAACTGTAATGAATCAATTTCACATTAATTTCATCACATGCATCATGTAACAGAAGGTCAACTTCTGTTTGTCTTCTTCATCTCACCTCTTTCAAGACCCATGGATCCACATGCATTTTAATGACTTCAAGTTTTTCACAGGGCCTGCCGATTTGTATAATAAAATGATTGAAAATATTCCAAATTGTGCGAGTTTTATTCTGTAGTAAAATCTCCATATCCGTTGGCATCGCCTGCTTAGGCGCCAGTTTTTCACAGCGATGTGATGTTTGATTAAAGAATTTACCCCGTTCACAGCACAGCTTCATGCACGCTCTGCCTTTGGACCAATCACAAACACAGCCGCGTCTGTGTAACGCAGTCTTTTCGGATTTATCGAGAAACGTCAATTGATGTCTATAGAAGGCGGTTTGATTTGCCTCTATCAAGATGTCATCGTAAATATAGGAACCATTTTCCAGTGGCAGGTGTTGCGAAAGATCAACGGTATCACGAAAATGACACTTTTCGAAGGGCTCATACTCCATGGCTATTAATGTTGGCACCAGAAAAAACCCAATGCACGCTATTAGCAGCATGGTGAGTATGAACAAAACCACCGATACGAGATGACTGAGTTTCATTGTTTAGCTTCGCAGCAGAACACGTCCATTGGCTAATAGATTCCATTCGAGACTGCAAATATCAAATGGCCATCGTTATCGTGTTTGTTCTTGCAAAAAAAAAAAAAACACGAGTAGAGTTTAGAATATTAAATGGATACTCTTGAGACCAATAAAACCGCGGAATGTTTCTTAGCACAGCTTTGAAGGAATTACAGAAAAAACATTGTTGCAAAACATCATTTTCTGCAATAACCCAACAAAACATGTGACATGTAATAGAAAGTCTCCAATAAATGAAGTGATGGTCGTGGCATCTGTGGTTGAATTTTATTATAGAGGCTCACATGTCTTTAACAAATTTGGGAAAGGAGAATTTAAGGAACGCTGGAAAAGTTTGAAGAGACTGAGGGTGGCTCAAGCCCTGAAAATATTGCCAGTCTATCACATAGAGGAAATCACGAAACATGCAGCCTCCGACGGTATGGGGAACAAATTCTGTAAAATATTTTTTGGATTCCATGGGATTGTGAGCCACAATAAAAGTAACCAGGCATTTTCTACAATGATGCGTTTTATATTCTGAAACCAGTAAGGAAAGTAGTAAAGTCGGACGGGGCCGACTATATGATACCCTTCACCACTTTGGGTATATTCAACAGATGAATCCTAACAGACGTAGCATTTGTAAAGGACCAGTAAAATGAAATTGGATATATAAACATGTCATTCTGCAGCCGATACTAAATTTTCCATTTGGATATAGAAGCTATATCTAAATCTGAACCGATTTCAGGAAACTTAACACACATCATTCTAGACCTAATTCATTACGCTGTGCCAAATTTCGTGCAAATCGAGATATATATACGGACTTTGGTGCACCATTTACATTAAATCAGACGAAAAAATATATGGGAGCTATGTCTAAATCTGACCCGATTTTCTCCAATCTTAGCACACATCATTCTGGACCTAATTCAGTACTCTGTGCCAAATTTCGTGAAAATCGAAAGATATATAGAGACTTTAGTGCACCATTTAACTTAAATCGGACGAAACTATATATGGGAGCTATATCTAAATCTGACCCGATTTTATCGGAACTTGGCACACATCATTGTGGACCTAATTCAGTACTCTATGCCAAATTTCGTGCAAATCGAAAGATATATAGAGGCTTTGGTGCACCATTTACCTTAAATCTGACGAAACTATATATGGGAGCTATATCTAAATCTGAACAGATTTTCAGGAAACTTAACACACATTCTAGACCTAATTCAATACTCTGTGCCAAATTTCGTGGAAATCGAAAGATATATAGGGACTTTGGTGGACCATTTACATAAAATCGGACGAAGATATATATGCGAGATATACATGGACGGACGAACGGACAGACGGACATAGGTTAATCGACTCAGAAAGTGATTCTATGCATATTCTCAGATACATATGCACAAAGACATAATACCCTGTACCACAGTGTGGTGAAGGGTATAAAAAGGGAATGCTTTTTTGTTCAGGTCGTCTATAAAGAACACCTTCAACTCCTCTATAAAGAACACCTTCAACTACTCTATAAAGATCGCCTTCAGTTTGCCGATAGGAACGCCCCGGCATTGAGTCCATGTAAATTCTCATATTCTTAAGATGCGATCAAAAATGTTTGCTGGTTACTAAAAAGAAAACTCTGCGGTTAGAAATTATTATTTATTGTTATCATGAATTGATGTATGTACCACATATGTAGTATTAAAACAATACTAGAGATAAGTTTAATTAGTACCCTACACCATAATGCGATACAAAGGCATATGTTTTGTGTCGGAAACATGAAACTAGATATGCTCATAAATACTTTTCTTGATCAATTTGTAATTACATTTAGAGCCAATTTGACTGCGTGTCAACGAAATTTAGTATACCAGATTTTACTCAAATAGTATGCGGATTATTTTGTTTCCTAAAGAGGTGTTGATTTCACCCTTCGAAGCCCCCTGAGTTTTTATTTCTCCAACTGTAGGTTAGATATGGGGAATACTGAGCCTTTTGAAAACATGAAACTTGTGCGGTAGATTCAATTAGGATGTCTATATCTATTCAATTACAATAATTGATTTGTTAGCAGATGGTCATAACTACTCATCTGAAATCTCACACAAAACCACTCTATTTGCGGTTGAAATTGTATTTACCAGAAGTATATATATATATATATATATAACTGCCTTATACACATGTCTGTGTCATCCAAAGGCTTTAATATTCATTTGAAATTGTATAGGATATTGTCCTGTCGACTTTAGTCTCCTTCTTCCCTATTTTCTTTTTAATCACTAATATTGCAATAAAAATGCAAATGATTTTATAATTCGTATGTAGTTCGAGAATAAATTTTGTCACATCCAAAGATACATTGGAGGGAAATCAATTTTCCTAATTACATCCATTTGAATCACATGCACGCACCTCTTTTTATCACTTCGATGACAGAAACATTTGTATTAAATTCCCCAATGTATCGTCAGTGGATGTAACAATGTCATGAGAAAAAAATGACTTAGTGTGTATTTTCTGCAATCTAGTTTAATGGTTTAAAGAAAATTGTAGTTCGATAAAAAAGTAGTAAAACAGTGAGCGGAGCAGTATAGTCGGACGGGCCGACCATACGATACCCTACACAACTACCACGAAACTCAAATTTTCTACGGATGTTTATTCCGAGCCTGGGCAATATTTCGTGATATTTGCACCCTCTTGCACGATTTGAGGTAAACAGCACCTATTCCTCACACTGACATATTTTCCGAATATTACGAGTATTCAGTACAGCTATTGTCCAGATTCCCTTCACCGTGGGTTGTGTTGTGATGTTCGGTTTTCATTTGTGGTCTATATATCGACTTCAAAATAACACAAAAAATTAAGTTTTCGGTCCACTTCATTCCAAAAGTATTATCTGATCATTACCGAAAATTATAGGCGTTGTACTTGACCATAACTGGAACCTTATGGAACATTTCAAAGCGATCAGCGCTATAGTTCCGCTCTCTAGAGCAATAATGGGTTACTAAATGATATACGAATACGGAGATACCTGTAAATATTTAGGTGTAACTCCCTCATCTGAGTATATACGACAATATAATTATCAATTTAAAGGTCAACAACTCCTCTTGGATATAATATAAACTTCTCGGCTCTATGTCCTTCAGGAGTAAATATATACGCCATAGAATACAAATTTTGTCATTTTTCACACAAAAGTCTGGGTCCATTTGACCCGCTAAATAATGATCTATCTTTATCAAAAACTGGCAAGCTTATTCTTAGGCCCGATCCCCTTCTCCATGCATAATTTCACGATGTTCGGGCCATAATTGCGGTCTCTGGATCGGCCACAAAAAACGACAAAAATTAAATATTTGGTCTATTTCATCCCATAAATATTAACCCCGATCTTTAACAAAAACAATAGGGATCTTCAATGGCCAGAACCCATCGTACATGCAAAACTTTCTAAAGATTGGTCCATAACTGTGGCCTATATAGTATTTACAAATTATAATGGACAGGCGCACGGACACACATGCCTAGATCGACTCAGCTAGTCGAGATATGAAGATCGGTGTACTTAAAGGTGGGTCTAGGAACAATATTTCGCGGCGTTACAAACTCTTGTGGCTACACAAAGCTATAATACCCTGACAACATAGTTGTGTAGGGTATAACAAGAGGATGGATGATTATTAACTTATGTGAAAACGAAATACGAAAAATACTCCCTTTTCTAAAAAACTTCCCCATTTGTATTCGCCTATAGAGACTCGTTATAGCTCTCTGCCTTCAGCTGAACTATAAATACACCCTTCAGCTCCTCTATAAAGTCTCATTTCAACTGGTCTACAAAGACCCAAATTAGTTCGATAGCAAAGACACCCATCACTCATGGTCTATAAAAACTCACTTCCAGTGGTCCATAAAGACTCCCTTCAGCTAATCTATAAGGACTCCTTTTAGCTGGTCTTTAAAGTCTTCCTTCAGTCTTTGAAGACAACTTTCAGTTGGACATCCGCCAGCTGGTCTATGAACACTTATTTTGCTTCAACTCAAAGGTTCCCCTCAACTAGTCTATAAAAACTCCATCCAAATCGTCTATAAAGACACCCAACAGCTCGTCTATACGGACACCCTTCAGTTGGTATATGAAGACTACCTTCAGTTGGTATATGAAGACTACCTTCAGCTGGTATATGAAGACTCCTTTCAGCTTGTCTATAAAGACCCCTTCAGGTCTTCTGTAAAAACTCCCTTCAACTCAAAAGTTCCCCTCAACTAGTCTATAAAAACTCCATCCAAATCGTCTATAAAGACTCCCAACAGCTCCTCTATACGGACACCCCTCAGTTAGTCCTAAAGACTACCTTCAGCTGGTATATGGAGACTCCTTTCAGCTCGTATATAAAGACTCCCTTCAGCTCGTCTATAACGACCCCTTCAGGTTTTCTGTAAAAAGTCCTTTCAACTCAAAGGTTCCCCTCAACTAGTCTATAAAAACTCCATCCAAATCGCCTATAAAGACTCCCATCAGCTCGTTTATATGGACACCCCTCAGTTAGTCCTATAGACTATCTTCAGCTGGTATATGGAGACTCCTTTCAGCTCGTCTATAACGACCCCTTCAGCTCGTCTATAACGACCCCTTCAGGTTGTAAAGAATCCCTTCAGCTCGTCTAAAAATATTTCCCTTAGATGGTCTACAAAGGCTTCCTCCAGTTAATCTATAAATATTCTCTTCAGCTCGTCTATAAAGACACCCGCCTTCTGATCCTTTCAGCTAGTCCATAAAGTCAACCATCAGCTGATCTATTTAGATTCCCTTCAGCTCGTCCGTAAGACACCCCCTCCGATCGCCGATAAATACTTCCATCAGTTGTATACAAAATTCTCTTCAACGCATCTCTAACGACTCTCCTCACACTTGAAAAGAAAAATATTCGCTTAAAAAATCCAAACTAGGAAAACTATTGTGTCCTGGTGAAAATATTTATGTTCGAAAATTCAAAAATTCGTTGAAAAAAAAATCACGCTTATTGGTTCTTCGATATTAGTTGTTCGTTTTATCTTTTTGTGCTTGGAAATTGGATTTAAAATACCAAAGAAAATTGTGTTGTTGGGAAATGCACTTATGGTATCTACCATACAATCTAAACTTGTGGCCCACACTCAGACGCATTACAATCAATTATGTATGTGGATATGGAAAATAGTTGTTTCATGTAAACAAATTTATTTTTATTATTATTTTATAATTTAATTTGCAATTCAACATATAGAAGAAGTAAACATAATTTAAATTGGACCTGGATGAATTTTCGTACTTTTTGATAAGGTAGAGTGGAATTGTACCGAATCTTGAGTATATGCTTCTTTGGAATTATTTCGAAATCTAAAAAAAAAGAAATTGTTTATAATTAAATACAAACACACACACGCACATAAGTATATCAAACAATTAATATGTGAACTCACTTTTTCTTCAATGGTCCCATCACCTCCGGTCTCACCACGAATAGTATGAATATTAGAACACCTTGAGTGGCATTACAAAAATCCGTTAGATCGAATATAAAATGAAAGTTCTGATGATCGCGCATAGCAAACGAGATAATGTCCATTATCCAGGATATGCCCATTATAAAAAAGAGGCGTATCAATATTAGAAGACTGCAACAAATAAAATACGATATATTAAGTGTAAAATAAATTTCAATTGCAAATCAACTACAAACAAATATATCCTCCATTAATAGAGGATATCTTAAACATTGCATTATTAACGATTATTTTTCCAAAAAAAAAAAAATACAATACAATACTTACTTTTCTTGCAAAAAATGTTGCTTGTGTAATTTAGCAAGTGCATCAAAACGTATTTCATATATTTTTCTTGAGACGTAGATAAATGTTATTGTACTGAAGATCATAATAATTGTACTGGGCCCATAGAAGTAGATAGCAGCTGACCATTTTCTAGCTAAAATTGAAGAACAACAAAGAGACCATTCATTTCAACAGAAAGAAGAAATTATTCTGAGAGAAATCTGTGACCACCTTTATGGTGTTGAATATATAAACCAATGTATGTGTGTGTATGTAAATATATTTGAACTTACTATCCAACCAACACACTTTAACACCAATTCCCGGCTTATACATCTCATCCACATATTCTGATAATTGACACCATATAAGAACGGCCGTCATAATACCCGTTAATCCCCATGCATATAGAGAGTAGATTTTGAAACGTATTGCACTTCGTTTGGGACAAAAATCCGTTGACGCAGCATTGAAATTATACCAAATTTCAAAACACAGGGCACTTATCCAGACAAAAGTGGCCATTATAAAGTAATAGCCAATAAAACCTGCAACAGGAAAACAAAAACAAAATGGGATTTTGAAATAATTAAAAAAAATACAAATCATATCTGCTGCGATCATGGCATATAAAAACATTTAAATTTCCAGTCACACTTACCAATTAAACTGCACGAGAAAATATGAAATACCGCTCGCGATATATTCAGTAGGGAAATTATCAAATAACTCACAGCCATGCAAATTAAATAGCAAATAAATATTTTATTTTTTATATTTTCTCTCAGTTCCTTCAACATCAAATACACGAAAATTGTTGGTATAATGAAAACTACCGATAGCAGCATACCTAAGGGATAAAAGAAATTAAAATCAGAATATATGTAAGGAAAAAACACCTACTCACCGTAAGTATTCAAAGTTGTTGCAGTATCAAGTTCAGTTGTCATGGGACAACTCAGTGGTAAAAAAATATTCTCATTTATAGTAGAGTCCCATTGTGGAGATAGACAATAACTGACAGTGTCTAAGAGCACATCGTGATCATCGAGGTACAGTGTACCGTTCTGGAAATAAAATGACAAATACATAATTTGCAACATCTCGAAATTTTATTCGGATACCCCGAAGAATAAAATACGTCCGTCTGTCACGATAGAGTTCGCAATAGTGAAGATGGCGAATTGAATTTTTTTACAGACATTGTATCTACTCCCTGGATGATTGATTTAAAAAATGGGGTATATCGCTCCAATTTTGGGAATTTAAAGATTTGTAGCATTTTAGTTTTGTGGACATTTTTTATTAGAAGCATATATTGTTGAACGGAAGCGCGGCATTTTAGGTATTATGAAGGTTTTAGCTGCATTTTCCCACCGAAATGGCAATTCAGTTTTAATTATAATTAAATTATAATTAAAGATTCATGTTAGCACATATCCCTCATATGACGATTCCGTCCATTTTTATACCCTACACAACTATGTTGTCAGGGTATTATAGCTTTGTGCAGCCCAAGAGTTTGTAACGCCGCGAAATATTGGTCCTAGACCCACCTTCAAGTATACCGATCGTCATATCTCGACTAGCTGAGTCGATCTAGACATGTGTGTCCGTCCGTCTGTCCACTATAACGTGTAAACACGATAGAGGCCACAGTTATGGACCAATCATCACGAAATTTTGCATGTAGGATGGGTTCTGGCCAATGAAGACCCCTATTTGGTAAAGATCGGTTAATATTTAGGGGATGAAATGGACCAAATACTAAATTTTTGTCGGTTTTTCTCCCAGAGGCCGCAATTATGGCCCGAACATCGTGAAATTTTACATGGAGTAGGGGATCGGGCCAAAGAATGAGCATGCTGTGATAAAGATCGGCCAATATTTAGCGGGTCAAATGGACCCTGACTTTTGTGTGAAAAATTACAAAATTTGTATTCTATGGCGAATATATTTACTCCCGAAGGACATAGACCCGAGAAGTTGACTGTATATCCAAGAGGAGTGGTTGACCTTTAAATAGATACCAATTACATTGTCATAGGTACGCGGATGTGGGAGTTACACTTAAATATTTGCAGGTGCTTACGTATTAGAATATTATTTAGTAACCCATTACCACACTAGAGGGCGGAAATATAGCTCTGATCGCTTTGATATTTTCCATGAGGATCCATGTATGGTCAAGGACAACGCCTATAATTTTCGGTGATGATCAGATAATAAATTTGGAATGAACTGGACCGAATATAGTATCGCAGAAAGTCAAAATATAGTATCACAGAATGTTAGATTTACGTGGAAGTTATGTAGGGTATCATATGGTCGGCCCCGTCCGACTATACTGCTTCGCTCACTGGTTTTAATTTATCATTCCGTTTGCAATTTCTTCTAGCCATGTCCGCCTGTGTGTACGACTGTTAAAATCACTCTAGAGATCGCCATATTTAAGATAGAGATCTGAAACTTTGCACAGACATTGGTTTTCCAACGGTTCATGTTTTGGTGTAGCTCCCATATAATGGTGCCCCCCAATTTTCAGTGTTCCGTAAAAATTATTAATATTAATGGAAGTTTCAGTGTAGCCTCTATACATCAATAACCTCCAATATTCGGGTTTTTGTTCACGTTTTTCAAACAAATTGACAGGATTCTCGTTGGGTGGCAAATCTGACTACCAACAAGTAAATATGTCTCGGACTTAATGTTGATCGAATCGGTTATTCAATTCGCTTCAAATTAAGTTTACTAGCTTATATTAATCCATTGAGTTTGGTTCAAATCGGACGTTCCGTTCGCCTAATATTGGATTTATTAATATTGAAGGTTTGGTTGAAATCGCATAGTCCGCATCGCATAGTTTTGACAATTTCGTGCGGGTGGTACCAAAATGAGTGGACCGATATTTCTTCTCTTTGAATTTGAACTAATTTTGGAAGAAATATTACGATCTGCAAAGATTGAATGAAATCAGTTACTTCATTGGAGAGTGCGGATTTGGTCCAAAGAAACATGGGGTCTAAAACCAATATTTCAATGAGCGCATTTTTGCCGTATCAAAGTGTATATACCATCATTAGCCATAAAGCTGATATCTCCGTTTTGGTAAAACCCCATATTTTGAGAATTAAATTAAATTAATTGATTTAATTTAGTTCAAAAATATGTGATTTGTGTATCCTTTTTGGCAATATATTAGCTGTTTCTCTTTTCCTCTGATGTAACTTAGAATTTTTGTAAAACAGGTTTGTTTTTTTTTATATTTATAGCAAGGTCGTTATAACCGATTTGAAATAAATGACAAATGAAAGATGGGACCGAATAAATAGTTCGTTATAAAAAAACTTTGGGACCAGAAAATTTGTTCGCTATAAAAGAAAGTTCTTTATAACCAGATGTTCGTTATAAGCATTTTCGACTGTATATGATTGTTCCAATGACGCAGAACGTGAATAGAATGAAGAGAAAGGAGATAAGACATAAGAAAAAAGAAGAAAGCTAAAAACAAAATATAAAAAAATAAAACGACAAAAAAATTCTGTGCCATAGAAACCCGTCACCACAATCGCAAAACAAACACACCCCCCAAAATTTGTTTTTCACACTCTCTCTCTCTCTCGCTCTCTCCTTTTATGAATTTCATTCATAAAATGCAGAAATCCCGACATTGACAACACTTTTTGAACGCTATTCAAATAATATACGAATTACTATGTCGTTTTTGGTGGCGTAGGGGATGATAGATACCAAGCAACGGCTCTGATTGGCTTTAACATGGCGAAGCCCAGGCTTATCTTGGTCCCTCTTTCATCTCAATTGTGGACACTGACCTCCCCGCGGTGCCACCTGGGGAGCTATTCTCATCACCCGATGAAATAGTGAGCTAACATGTGTCGCGAGTTCACCCATATGAACTATAAAAAATGGGTTGAGGCGTCGGGTTAGTTGCCAGTTAGTTGTCAGACGACTACGCCCTGTATTATAGTTGCCATGAAACGAGACATGAATTTGGATGCCGATTTATGGTTAACAGGAGAATAAAAGACCTTGTCTCCAGATTCACTCCAGTAGATGAGCGAATTGCTATAATCCGTATAAAAGCGAAGTTCTTTTACATCAGTCTAATTTGCGCCCATGCTCCGACCGAAGAAATAGATGAACAGACCAAAGACATATTTTACGAGCGCCTAGAAACAGCATATGACCGTTGCCCTGGCCATGACATTAAAATTCTGCTAGGAGATTTTAATGCAAAAATTGGAAGGGAAAATATCTTTGGCCCCACCGTCGGAAAATTCAGCCTTCAAAAGAAACATCCGACAACGGGATGAGGTTGATTGACTTCGCGGCAGCAAAAAACATGGTAGTTAGCAGCACCAGATTCAAGCATCTCGATATACACAAGGCCACCTGGATTTCTCCTGATCAAGTAACGAGAAATCAAATTGATCATGTTGTGGTAGACTTCCGATCGATCCGAGGAGCGAATATCGATTCGGACCATTACCTTGTGGCAGCCAAGGTACGCACCCGTCTTAATGTTGCAGCAAAGGTGCGATCTAATACAACACGGAAACTCGACGTCGAAAAGCTGCAAACACAACAGGTAGCCGAGGCCTACTCCACTCAACTTACCCATCTGCTTGAAGAAAGCACTTCTTGTCCCGATAATAGTATAGAAGCACAATGGCAAAGAATTGCTCACTCCCTACAAACTGCAGCAAAAAGAACAATTGGGTACCAAAAACCACCACCAAGAAACCCATGGTACGATCAGGAGTGTCGTAATGCTAGTGATATGAAAAACGCAGCGTATAGGGCAACCATGCGGACAGTAGCAACACGTAATGCGTTGGAGAACTATCGGGAGAAAAGGAGAGATGAGAAACCTATTTTCAGAAAAAAGAAGAAAGCACAAGAAAAACGAGATGTACAAGAGTCAGAATGAAGTCCGGTAATTTTACCAACGAGTAAAACACCAAACCGAAGGCTTTGGTGCAGGCACATCCTCCTGTAGAGATGAAGAAAGAAACCTGGTGACAGATACAGACAACGTGTTGAGGATCTGGAAGGAGCATTGCGAAAAGCTACTAGTATCAAATAGTGGCGATGAAGAAGATACCCCAGAACCAATAAGAGATGATGGTATAGAGTGTATACCACCTAGCCAAGATGAGGTCATAAAAGCAATTAATCGGCTCAGATAAACAAAGCAGCAGGAGCCGATGGGTTACCAGCCGAACTATTCAAGACTGGTGGCCAGATGCTGGTCAGGAGCATGCACCAGCTGATTAACACAATTTGGCTAGATGAATGCATGCCCAATGGTTGGAATCTCAGCATCCTGTGTCCCGTGCACAAAAAGGAGACAAGACGATGTGTGCCAACTATAGAGGAATAAGTCTCCTTCCCATCGCATATAAAGTGCTATCCAGTGTGCTGTGTGAACGATTGAAGTCAATGGTCAATGACATCATCGGACCATACCAATGCGGCTTCAGACCTGGCAAATCCACCATTGACCAGATTTTCACTCTGCGCCAAATCTTGGAAAAGACCCACGAAAAACACATCGACACATACCACCTATTTGTCGACTAGGTGTTTAAAGCCATGTCTGCGTTCGGCATTCCTGCAAAATTAATACGGCTATGCAGGATATTTTTAAGTGGCACAAAGTCAGCCGTTAAAGTAGGAAAGGACCTATCGGAGCCCTTCAATACCGAACGAGGATTCAGACAAGGTGACAGTTTGTCGTGTGATCTTTTTAACATCCTACTGGAAAAGGTCATACGAGACGCAAAGGTGAACATAAATGGCACTCTGTACACCAAACAACATCAGTTACTCGCCTACGCCGATGACATCGATATAATTGGTCGAACATCAAAAGGCATATAAAAATGAGCCTACTGATGGTTCCCGTAGAAGGGGAAGGCCACGAATTAGATGGAAAGACCAAGTAGAAAACAACATCTTGGAACGTGGTCTTCCAAATTGGTGGACTTGCGCACAAGACCGACGCGCTTGGAAATCTTTTTTAAGCTCGGCTTATGGAACAACCGTTCTGTAACAAGCCAGCTAAGTAAGTAAGTACTATGTCGTTTTTCTTATTTTATTATTGAAACCTTCATATTGTTGTAGAATATGTACTACAATTTATTTATCATCGCATTACTAATCTGAAACACACTGTGTGGTCATTTGACTCTCTCTCTCTCTTCAGCTTGTTTGTCCACCTCCACCCACTTACCTCCAGAATATTCCATCTATCCGTAGTATCCATAATAACTTGAGGTTTTTCACATGGCAATCCAATTTGCGGGATAAACTTTCTATAAATATTTACCATCACCTCATGCTGTTGATCGCCTGTCTTGATTATTTTCATTTTTATGGGTACATTTTGATATCGTGGAATTTCATTGCAACTCGCTGACGATTCATTGTAAAATTTTCCACGTTCACAACACAATTTAATACAATATCTGCCACTGTATTGGGGACCACAAACACACGCTCTGGGGTGTTCTGCAACCGATTTTTTATCATTAAGAAATTCTAAACGATAACTATATGGTCTAACATTCCTCTTGGCGATCGCATAATTTTCATAGATGTACACGCCATTGCCGAATAGTGTGGAATTGCTTAGATCGACAGTATCCCTAAAAGGACATTTCTCTTCTATTGTTGCTATTGTTGTAGTTATTACTAACGAAAGCAATACGAAGATGATGCTGCGCGTCATAATACAAGCCGTTCATTTCCGTTCGCCTATAACCAATGAACTGTTGAGAATTCCTATTCGAAATGTAAATAAATGAACGATCAAATGAGCGAGAGAATTTAAAACCACATGCGACATATATAGAAACGTGACAGTGATTGATATTTTTATAAACAATTGAACGAGAAACAAATTTATAATAATAATATTAATATTTATTATTCGATATAATTCCCATATTTGTATGCATTGCAACGTGAAAATATATCCATCTCTAAATATTTTTCTAGAATATGATTTTCTATTTGTAATTCCGTGGATCGCACAAAGTATCGAACTTCTGTTGATATCCCTATTGTTACTTTGTTGAAAATAAAACTTGTTCTGTTTTAACCACTGTATTTACAAGATTACTAATGGTATTCATAGTCCGTCATTTTGCATTGTACGTCATTAAAAACCAGATTCACCAGATTCAAATCCATTAATAGAATCTGAGAAATTGGACAAGAGAATCGTTTCAATTCACTGCTTTAGTCACTACATGCTAAATATATGCCAGACAGGGACGTACACAAGATTTATTTTCGAGGGGAGGGCTGCCGGTGTATCATGACATTTTCTCTGTTGCACACATTAACTAATTGTAAAAAAATAAAAAAAAAAAACATTTCGGAGGGTGTCGGGCCCCATGCCTTCCCTTTTCAACGTTTATGATCGTAAATCTGAGAACAGATCGTCATATCGTCTACACAACTAAATGTGTCATTGCAGCTGTGTTCAAGTGAAATATTTAATTTTTGGCAAAACCCCCAACACGGCATAAAGACACACGTGCTTTATTAGCACGTGAATAAGCTACAACCGACATTTTATGACCTGCACCATAAGGTGATTTTTATAACGAAAAATTTCTAAAGAATATTTTTATAAAGAATATTTTTTCTAAAGAATATATTTTCAAGGACTATCAATTTTTCACGGACCAATACAAGGCGTGGATTTTCTAACGAATATTTTTTTCAAGGACTATCAAAGGCGAAGATTTTTACAAAAATATTTTTCAGACGTGGATTTTCTAACGAATATTTTTGTCAAGGACTATCAAAGGCGTGGATTTTTTAAAGAATATTTTTTCAAGGCCCAATACAAGGCGTGGATTCTTTAAAGAATATTTTTTCAAGGCCCAATACAAGGCGTGGATTCTTTAAAGAATATTTTTTCAACGACCAATACAAGGCGTGGATTTCTTAAAAGAATATTTTTTTCAACGACCAATACAAGGCGTGGATTTTTCAAAAAAATATTTTTTCCAAGGACCAATACAAGGCGTGGATTTTTTAGAGAATATTTTTTTCAAGGACCAATACAAAGCATGGATTTTTTAAAGAATATTTTTTCAACGACCAATGCAAGGCGTGGATTTTTTAAAAATATTTTTTTCAAGGACCAATACAAGGCGTGGATTTTTTAACGAATATTTTTTTCAAGGACAAATACAAGGCGTGGATTTTTTAAAGAATATTTTTTCAACGGCCCAATACAAGGCGTGGATTTTTTAAAGACTATTTTTTCAACGACCAATACAAGGCGAGGATTTTTTAAAGACTATTTTTTCAACGACCAATGCAAAGCGTGGATTTTTAAAGAATATTTTTTCAACGACAAATACAAGGCGTGGATTTTTTAAAGACTATTTTTTCAAGGCGTGGCTTTTTAAAGACTATTTTTTCAAGGCGTGGATTTTTTAAAGACTATTTTTTCAAGGCGTGGCTTTTTAAAGACTATTTTTTCAAGGCGTGGATTTTTTAAAGACTATTTTTTCAAGGCGTGAATAACTGGGGTTTTAAAGAATAATTTTTCAAATATTAATATATACTTTGATTTTACAAAAATATATTTTTTTAATTTAAATTCAATGGATTAAAAAAAATAAATATTATTAGATACGTGGATTTAAAACAACATATTTATACCCTACACAACTATGTTGTCAGGGTATTATAGCTTTGTGCAGCCCCAAAAGTTTGTAACGCGCGAAATATTGGTCCTAGACCCACATTTAAGTATACCGATCGTCATATCTCGACTATCTGAGTCGATCTAGACATGTGTGTCCGTCCGTCCGTTTGTCCATTATAATTTGTAAACACGATAGAGACCACAAACCAATTTTCACGAAATTTTGCATGTAGGATGGGTTATGGCCAAAGAAGACCCCTATTGTTTTTGGGAAAGATCGGCTAATATTTAGGGGATGAAATGGACCAAATACTAAATTTTTGTCGGTTTTTCTGATCGCTCCAGAGGCCGCAATTATGGCCCAAATATCGTGAAATTTTGCAAGGAGAAGGGGATCGGGCCAAAGAATAAGCATGCCTGTTTTGATAAAGATCGGTCAATATTTAGCGTGTCAAATGGACCATGACTTTTGTGTGAAAAATGACAAAATTTGTATTCTATAGCGTATATATTTACCCCTGAAGGACATAGACCCGAGAAGTTGATATTATATCCAAGAGCAGTGGTTGACCTTTAAATTGATACCAATTATATGGTCGTACGTACTCAGATGTGGGAGTTGCACTTAAATATTTACAGGTGCTTACGTACTGAGATATTATTTAGTAACCCAATACCACACTAGAGGGCGGAAATATGGCGCTGGTCGCTCTGAAATTTTCCAGTTGTGGTCAAGGACAACGCCTATTATTTTCGGTGATGATCAGATAATAATTTTGGGATGTAGTGGACCGAAGACTTAATTTTTTGTGTGTTTTTTTCGAGTCGATCTATAGGCCACACTTATAAGCCGAACATCACAACACAACCCACGGTGAAGGGAATCTGGACAAGTAATTAGAAGGGCTGTACTGAATATTAGTAATATTCGCAAAATATGTAAGTGTAAGGAAGAGATGCTGTTGGTCTCTAATTGGCAAGAGGGTGTAAATATCTCGAAATATTGCCCAGGCTCGGAATAAACATCTGCAGAAAGTTAGAGTTCCGAGGAAGTTGTGTAGGGTATCGTATGGTCGGCCCCGTCCGACTATACTGCTCCGCTCACTGGTTTTTAAATATTATTAGATACTTGGATTTAAACAAATATTTTTCAATGTTTACACTGTGCGACAAATTTTAACATTTTAATGTTTCATGTTACTTTAATGTGCTTAGTCCAAAAAATTCTGGTAAATGTCTTTGAAAAAAATGCAAGAACATTTTGAATTTTTTGTTAAAATTGTATGACTACATATTCGGTATATACATTATATATACAGATTTCACTTGTTCTGTATATATAAAAATTTATGGAGAATATTTTTGTCTTTTATACCATCCATCTAAAATTCCCATCTTGTGGGAAAAATGGGTAAAAACTTGTAATAGTACGATATTAACCCCAAAATGAGTTTTTGTTTGTTTAAGATTTTTGACTTATTACGCAGAGTTTTGAGTTTTAGTCTATTCTAAGACTGCTAATAAAACTTTATAGCGAACATTTCTGTAGAATATTCTGAGCAGCTTTAACCCCGTTTTGAATGAGTTTTCAATCACTTCTGGAAAAGGGGACCAAACAGACCCCTTCAATGAATCGGTTGAGGGTTAAAGTTGCAAAATATTCCTCGATATTTTATCAGTAATATTGCCGATGACACTGTATACCTAAAATGCAAGGATTTCAAGAAATCATAATTCGAAAATTATCAAAATTCTTGAAAAGGGGGAATATTGCCCTGCCTATTTGGGTTACCTCCCGACGTAAAAGAAATATGAAATAAATGTAGTATATATTACAATATTGTTTATTAATGACATTTGAGGATATTTTTATTGTCACAGCCCTATGGTAAAGGTTATTATCATTTGTTTCCTATATTCTTATATAATTAATAAATATACATCAATATTTATTGCGGCACCTACAAGGAGCGTAAAAATAAAGTATATCCATTACTTAGACAATCTGAAAAAAACAACACTAAGTACTTTGAAATATTTACAATCTGGTATTTTTTTATCCTCTTATAAATTAAAGAATACTTCTTTTTGACGCTCACTGTATATACATAGTGCGTAGAGTATTTGCAATCGATAACAACATGATTTTCCTCATCATGTATGGTTTCCATGTATTTATTTGGTTTAATTAGTATTTTCTCCATTTCGAAGAGGCGACAGGAACATTGATTTTAAAATCGGTCATATATTTGCTGACCATTTTCCAAATTAAAACCCGGAGCATCCGATAATGTAAAACCTTCATCCAACGCATCATATTGGTTACCATTTTCCAGGAAACGATTTCCTCTGCAACAAAATAAAAATCAATAAAATTTCATTTTGGGGTTTCTGATTACATCATGGCCATCACTATAATTTACCTTATATCCAGAATTGGTCTAACTGCAAAAATCCAAAAAATCACAGGTCCCTCCAGGGCATCAACAAAATCTGCCACAAAATACCATATTGTTTCGCTGTTCGGATGTAAAACATTTTCAATGTTCGATATTGTTTCGAAACATGCCAATATTATCATCAGTATTAATAAACGTCCATACTGGTCCGCACTGTAAAAAAAGTTAAATGGCAATTCAATTTGAATAGATTTTTCCTGTTTTTAATGGAAGTCATACCTCTTAACCAAATCGTCTCTTCTTGTGGGTTGATGTTGCAGAACTGATTTCATTTTGTGCCATGTCGTTATATAATAGAATATATTCAAGCACAATAAACAGATATTTAGGCCATAGAAATAATATAACGCTGAGAAATTATTAGCTGGAAAATATCAAAAGGGAAATTATTTTATTCAAAGGCTACAATTAATAGACCCTTTTTTTCAAGGACTAACAGAAGTGTAGATTTGTTAAAGAACATTTTTCAAGGACTAACAGGAACTTGGATTTTTTAAAGAATATTTATTCAAAGACAATAAAAGGCGTGGATTTTTATACCCTACACAACTGTGTTGTCAGGGTATTATAGCTTTGTGCAGGCCCAAGAGTTTGTAACGCCACGAAATATTGGTCCTAGATCCATCTTTAAGTATACCGATCGTCATATCTCGACTAGCTGAATCGATATAGACAGGTGTGTCCGTCCGTCTGTCCATTATAATTTGTAAACACGATACAGGCCACAGTTATGGACCAATCTTCACAAAATTGTGCATGTAGGATGGGTTCTGGCCAATGAAGACCCCTAATCGGTTAATATTTAGGGGATGAAATGGACCAAAAACTTTATTTTTGTCTGATTTTCTGGTCGCTCCAGAGGCCGCAATTATGGTCCAAACATCGCGAAATTTTACTTGGAGAAGGGAATCGGGCCAAAAAATAAGCATGCCTGTTTTGATAAAGATTGGTCAATATTTTGTGAGTCAAATGGACCCTGACTTTTGTGTGAAAAAATTACAAAATTTGTATTCTATAGCGTATATATTTACTCCTGAAGGACATAGACCAGAGAAGTTGATAGTATATCCAAGAGGAGTGTTTGACCTTTAAATTGATACCAATTATATTGTCGAATGTTCTCGTACGTGGGTGTTACACTTAAATATGTGCAGGTGCTTACGTATTCAGATATTATTAAATAACCCATTACCACACTAGAGGGCGGAAATATAGCGCTGATCGCTATTAAATTTTGCATGAGATTCCAGTTATGGTCAAGGACAACGCCTATAATTTTCGGTGATGATCAGATTATAATATTGGGATGAAGTGGACCAAAAACGTAATTTTTTGTGTTTTTTGAGTCGATGCCAATAATAGGCCGAACATCACTACCCAACCCACGGTGAAGGGAATCTGGACAATTAATTAGAATGATTGTACTGAATATGAATAGTAATAATCGGGCCAGATTGATAAAATATCACGAAATATTGCCCAGGCTTGGAATAAACATCCGCAGAAAGTTAGAGTTCCGTGATAATTGTGTAGGGTATCGTATGGTCGGCCCCGTCCGACTATACTACTCCGCTCACTGGTTTAAAGAATATTTTTTCAAGGACTTTCAATGGCGTGGATTTTTAAGGAATATATTTTCAAGGACTATCAAAGGCGTGGATTTTTCAAAGAATGCTTTTTTCAAAGGTCATCAATGGCATGGATTTTTTAGGGCGTGGATTTTTAAAGAATATTTTTTTAAATAGATTTTTAAGGGATATTTTTTAGGATTTTTTTAAAGAATATTTTTCAAAATGATTTTTAAGGAATATTAATTTTAAGTAATTTTTTAACGAATATTTTTAGAATTTTTATGGAATATTTATTTTAAGGACCTTTTTATGGGGACCCCCCCCCCCATTCTCGGGGTCAAAAATTTTGTTGATATTATTTAATCTACACTAATTAAAGAATGTCCCTACACATTTTCAAATTAAAATCTCAAGAACTCTTGAAGATATAGCCGATTTATTGTGTCAGCATCAAGTGACGGCTGAAGGGCTTCTCAAACTTTAAACGCGTTTTTTCTCTAAACATTTTTTTGCAAATGGCGGGCACGATAACTCAAAAACTAATAACCCAATCGATTCCAAATTTTTACACGTTTCTCTGTGAGTGTGTAGCTATCGTATGAACTAGGATAAAGTCAATCGGTGAAGATCTTCCTAATTTTTTAACTTGGTTTTTGGTCAAAAATCGGCGATTTTCCAAAAATATTTTTTCAAAGGTCCGCCATTTTGTTAATTTTAGAGCGAAGTCAATAATCCTAGTTCATACGAGAGCCAGACATGTACTCTTTGTAACACCGTTGGAATTTTCGGATTCCGATGTTCCATTGAGGAGTTATCGTGCCCGCCATAAAAAATAAGGACTTTTCTTTAATTACAAAAAAAAACAACAAAAATGTTTTGTAAATTATTTTTCTTCTATTTTAAATCTTCAATTATATATGAGTAAAGTTACAAACCTTAACAAGCATTGGTATTGATTTACCAGCCCATTGAAAATCTTGAAAAATTAAAATCGTGAATGGGGGGTGGTTCCCTTAAATAATATTTTTTCAAAAGGATTTTTTATGAATATTTATTTTAATGTTTTATTTTATAAATTTTTTTCAGGATTTTTCAAAAAATATTTTTTGAGGGACTTACCATTAAACCAACAGGAATCCTCGCCAAATCCCGGCTTATATTTCTCCGGCATATTCGAGTTCTGTATTATCAATAATACTGCGGTGAGGGCCGCTGGAACACCCCAGCCATATGCCAAATATGTAACAAAATGATTTTCTCTATTCACAATGCTTTTCAGCATGTCAAAGAAGATGACATTTAACCAAAAGAAGGATACCACAGAAAAGAAATACCCAGAGAATCCTTTTATAAGAAAAGTAAAATAATAATATATAATATGTCAATAACTTCTAATATAGTGTGAACTTACCCACAATACTGCACCACACACCCGTCAATTGAGTATCGGAAATATATGTTGAGGCCACAATAATATTGCCAATGGTGAGAGAAATCAAAAAGCATATTAAACTGTTTTCCTGCAAATTAATCTTTTCCGGTTTCACCAAGATAACCAAAATTGTGAGAGCAAGAAAAACTATGGATATGCAATCAGCTGGAAATGGAGAATTTTTAACATTTCAGAATTAAATATTCAATGAAAAATTGAGAAAAAAATTGCTTCATTAACACTTACCCACATTATTAAACAGTCTTGAAACAGTAACCGGTTTATCTAACGGACAAATCATTGGACTTAGCACCCATGGACTGCCACCAAACGCCGCATTATCATCACGCATCTCTGGCATGAAACAGTATTCACTTTTACTCAAAATCCGTAAATTATAGTAGAGTACCAGTGAACCATTCTCCAGCAGATTCCATTTTTCGTGCAAATTCATCAACGGATTCAGGGGATAGGCATTGTCACACGGTATGCCCAGGACCATGGTAAATTCTTTGGTTATGTCAACAATACGTCGGGTACCATTCATAGTTATCACCTTCATGTTGTGATTAAATTTCGGCACCTCATACAATTCCTCACATTGTCGGCTACTGTTCGACAATGTTTCTCGCGTCGGATGGCAACAAAATTTGATGCAGCTGCGTTCACCCGGTCGACAAACACAGCCACGTGGATGTGGTTCGCGGGATATTCGATCACCATCGTATATAATTTCATAGTCGTAGATGCTCACCTGTTCGGCCGGTATTATTAAATCGTCACCATATAAATATGAACCGTTGGCAAATTTTTGGGAATGGCTCAAATCGACGGTGTCTTCAAAATTACAAAATGGAACTGCCTGAGTTAAGTGATATGCTGGCAGGATAGAGAGTACCATTAGAATTTGTTGAATATGTGGGCGTGACATTGTAAAAACGCTGTGGGAGACAAAGTAAAAAAGAGACATTTTCAAAGTTTGTAAATTAAGAAGGAAAATTGAGATATACCGCATCAGATTTAAAGTTGAGCTGTTATTTTATCAATTGTATCACGATGTCTAAATCTTGAAAAAATACTTTATATTTCAAGCGTCAAATGAAAAAACATCCCTTTTGGCCGGCTGAACTTTATTTACCCTTTACCATAAAGTGCCTAAAATGGGTTGGGTCTTTTTAAATGGAGGTCATGGTAAATTGCTGCCAGGATTAATCGAAATAGTAAACGACAGACAAACAGATAAGCAAATTGCTTCAGGATCTTAATACCCTAAATTACGCGTGACCATTGCACGGAGGCTTTGTAGAAAGAAAGAAGAAGGTGTTTATCTACCAAGGTCGTGTCATGCTAAGTTACAAACATTTCGTAATGTTAAGATAAGGTCACGTCCATTAAGATACCTATCAAAGGGGCTGCACATGGGAAAAAGACCTATATTTATCCGTAGGAAAATTTGCCAAAATATCACTAAGAAATCCTCTGACACCAAGTGTTTAAGAAACCCCCAGGTTTTTGCATTATTCATCATTTTTGGAACTGGATATTCCACCAACATCATTACACCGTATTTTGGTTACAAACTTCGTTACACCGTATTTTGGTTACTTGTGTCGTTCGTGAACACTAAGTCGTTCAATTGAACGAGTTAGTCCACTGAACGAGTGAACGACATAGTTCAGTTTTTTTTATTATTGTCGTTCACTGAACGTTGCTCAATGAACACCGTCGGTCACTGAACGACATTATATTTTCTTCTACACCATGGCACAATGAATAGGTAGTCCATTTAGCGCAGCTGATGTCTCGATTAACTGTCAAAGTGGGTAATTTATACTTGAATTCGATGTCTAGTGTTGCCAACCATTTGAAATATTATAAGGGAAAACTGGACAGGTGATCCAGACAAAAAGAAAGGTTGTTGTTGTGATACATCTCCTTATTATTTCATCATGTTCCACACCTTCAGTATTGTTCACAGGTGCAATTACTTAGGCAAATAGAACGGCGTCAAATAAGAAAAATTTCATATAAAATCTGTTGTCTATTGTTGTCCCATTTCATGGAATGCGGTACTTAAAAGATCAAATGCTGCAGTATTTTTTTTTTCGTATAGCTGAAGTGGTTCACCTAAAATTCAAATTGTACCAAATTCAGTACCATTTAGTACCCATTAGTATTAATTTGTTAAACTGAATCCTGACCCTAATCCTACATCCCAACAATGATCCTAACTACAAATTTCATTGTTCCAGCTCTATCGGTTCATCCAAATCCAAATTGTACCAATTATAGTACGATTAAGAACTTTTCGTACACATAAGTAAAACTTTTCCAAAACTACGTACATATCCTAATCCTACACTCGGACGATAATTTTACTTTCAATTTTCAGGATTCCAGCTCGATTTGTACCTTCCAATAAAATGTGTACCAAATATACTACCGTATAGTATTTTTCGTACACATGAGCACACGTTTTCCAAACTCTCCTCACCCTACTTCTCAACCTTAATTTGCATTCCAATTTTCAAGTTTGTAGCTCAATCCATTCACATGTTACGAAATTGTACCAAATTTAGTACATTTCAGTACTTTTCGGATTCTCATAGTACAAATTTCCAAAAAGCCCTTTGCTACATCTATTCTACACTCCATCAGTGGCCCTCAATCCAAATTTCAGAGTTCTAGCTCTACTGGTTCGCCAAATATAAATGGTATCACATTTAGTACTTTTCGTATCGTTCTAGTACGACTTTCCAAGAACCCAGCCTTATCTGTCACCTTTGGACCAAGAGTGACCCTCACCCAAAATTTCAAGATTCTAGCTTCAGCCGTTTTATCTGGGCGTTGATGAATCGTTAAATCAGCCAGTCAATCACTTTACTCTTTTAGTATAGATTGTTGGAAATTAATATTCTTTCAACAGTCGAAAACTTAAAAAATCGTCACAGGGGCCACCCCTTGCCTTCTAACCTGTTATATTTGGAATTACTTAGCGCCTCATTTTCGTCATTTGCAAGTTTTCAAACGCATTTTCTAAAAAATGTAAAAACATAGCTCTATATACCCGTTCCCGCAGGGTTTTTGGTATTTTTATAGTTCTAGGCTTATTTTCTAACCAACCATATTCATGATAGGTAAAAACTACTTTGCAAAACTAGCGGATTTTTTGTGGTTGCAAAAACGTTGTGTAGACAATTTTCAATATATGTATTTGGGTCCAAACCTAAATGTTTCAACCCATTTACGATATGCTTGGAATTTTAACGACTTCTATGTCTGTAATTTAATATTGGGTGTTCTCACAGGTTAAGAACACCTCCAGACGGACTATAACGATGTACAAAGTGTCGATTAAAAAAGTTTTGACACCGACTAGGTACCGACTGTGCCATTTTCATTGTTGATAAGAATATTACGATGTGTATATTTTGGAAAAAAAATCGGATACTCCGTTCGAGTGATATTATGCAATTATTTTTATGAGCAATTCTAAATATTATTGAATGACAGATATTAACACTAGATTGCCGAAGGCAGTCATTTTGACCGTTTTTCAATTTCAAGTACAAAAACAATTGTGTATATTATGACCCAGCTTTTTAAAATTTGGTGACTTTTTGTACCACATAGAACTACGTTTATTAATCATAGTAGCTGCTTCCTCCCCTCTTTCATTCCCCGTATTCAAATGTGCTATACCTATATTGCCTAAAAGCGGTCATTTCGACCTTTTTGAAATATTAAATAATCAAACTACTTTTATTATTGCATAAAGTAAATTTCTTATATGACCAGATCGGTACAACAACATCGAAACCCGTTTGCTACTCTAGAAATACAAACGAACACACAAATCGGGAAAAATAAATTTTATATTTCCAGTCGATTTCACTCTTAGAATAAAGACTTCCTCTTTTTCGAACATTTTGTCCGCGCTCTTATTTTTCAAAAGGGGAAACTCGAGAGCCCTACCACCGAAAACAAATAATAACAACGTTTTGTATGATTGTAAATAATGTAAAAAATATTAAAAATTAGTTAAACAAATTTTTTTCTTTACACAATAAAAATTCTTTCAGAATGAGGTCATTTTGACCGATTTTAGGCAATATAGGTATATACAAAATTCCCGTCTTTCTAGTGTTAATATACATTGTTCTCTCTATGGGAGGTATTAATATATATTGCTCTTCTCTAATTCGTAGAACCATTATTGTGACTCCATGTATATTACAGCCGATTATAATGAAAATGTCTGTTTTGCTTTTTGAACTTTAATTGCAAGATTTTCCATCTTTTGAAGTTTAGTTACAATATTATATTGTACTATTACTGTACTACGTACTACTTATTTATGTCAGTTTTCAAGAAAATTGTTTTCATACAACGGAAATTGTTAAGTTTTATTCCATATACCCATTTGTTTGAATAAACCTTCAACCTATGCCCTCAAGCGTGTTAATGGTTGGTTGCTTTGTTGGCTAAGTACAATAAGTTGAGTATTTTGATATTGTTTTTTACTCATTTATTATTTTTTACTCTCTTTGAAAATCCACGAAATAAAAAGTAGGTCAATTCTAAATAGAAGAAATTAATTTTGATATAAATATTGAAGGCAATTACCCATTGAAATATTTCGTATGCGGAAAGGGAATACAAAACAAATAAAAAATATTTTGTATGGAAATCGTGAATCGTTTGCTGTACTATAATTCCGAACTCCATCTCTGTTCCTACATCTATTATTAACATTTACTCTTCATATACATAAACACTAATTTCCGAAATATCTTCCTTATTTCCATTATACAGATATACGAATACGAATTCCACCTCTGTTCCTGCATCTAATATCAAGTTGAATACCATTCACTCTTCATACTCATAAGCACTAATTTCCGAAATACATTCCTTATTATATACTTTAGCAAATAAGTACAGATTCAGCATTTAGTTCTATTCTGCACTTTTCGAACACATAAGTACACAAAACTACCTTTATATATCAATCGTTCCTCCAATAAATTAAATACCAGTTAATAGCAAAAACCTTCGGTATTTATTTTTAACTGTCCGTCAGCGATCCACATTCCAAAATTCCGTGACTCAAATCCAATTGTTTTTCAAATTTAGTGAATTTTAGTACTATTCATACACACATACATTCTAACTTCCAAAGCTGTCTCTTTAACTCAATTCTACACATTAACAGTAATCTAAATTACAAATTTCGGAATTTTAGCTCTATCCATTCACCCAAATTCAAATTATATCAACTTCAGTACCATTTAGTAATGTTCACATTCATAAGTAAGTATTTCTAAAACTACATCAATCCTACACTCTAACAGTAATCCTAATTCCACCAAAGTCCAAACTTTAAAAATTTAGTACTTACGTTTATCTTAATCCAGGGTTCGCTCGCGAATGAATTTAAGGGGACCCCCCCCCCCATTCTCGGGGTCAAAATTTTTGTTGATATAATTCGAATCTACACTGATTAAAGAATGTCTCTACAAAATTTCAAGTGAAAATCTCAAGAACTCTTGATGTTATAGCCGATTTATTGTGTCAGCATCAAGTGACGGCTGAATGGCTTCTCAAACTTTAAACGCGTTTTTCTCTAAACATTTTTTTGCGAATGGCGGGCACGATAACTCAAAAACTAATAATCCAATCGGTTCCAAATTTTGCATCGTTTCTCTGGGAGTGTATAGCTCTCGTATGAACTAGGATAAAGCCAATCGGTGAAGATCTTCCTTATTTTTTAATTTGGTTTTTGGTCAAAAATCGGCGATTTTCCAAAAATATTTTTTCAAAGGTCCACCATTTTGTTAATTTTAGAGCGAAGTCAATAATCCTAGTTCATACGAGAGCCAGACATGTACTCTTTCTAACACCGTTGGAATTTTCGGATTCCGATGTTCC